AAACATGACACAGCGTGGGAGGATTTTCTGCTTAAGGACAGGATATACAGAGGCACACATAGCTTGTATGTTATAAACTCTGGGCTTTAATTTCTTTGGGGCTTCTGATAGGAGAGAAAACGGCTAAGCTGTTTCACTGCTGCATTCAGAGACCCTTTCCCAACTTGGACAGGCCTTTCATGGCTCCAGGGTCTTTCTGTCTTCCCCATCCCAGTTCCACACTATCCTCCTCTCAACTTTATTTCACACTTGACCTTCATCCTCTTCTCCCAGCAGTGTCCCCATCATCACTTTTTCACATGGACACCAGGTAACCTCCCTCCTGCCCTCTTGGACAATGAAAGACGTGCAGTCTCTTTCTTTTCTTTACTGTTCAGTAAAGCATTCTCAATCTCACGGGTTTGGGCTTTCTCCATGTTATTGGTGACCTCTATGTTAACCTGCCTTTGCAATCCTTTTCAAGCTTTTATTCCATCCTCCAGTCTAAACATATTCCCAGACTTTCACTGACCTACAGTGGCACTGAGCGAAAAAGTGAAATAAAACCCTGTGTCTCCTCTTGTAGGACACAGAATTATTGAAAAATTATCTGGAGTGTCTACAGGGCAGAGTGATGGGGAGTAAAATCCCGTCTTTGTACTGCTCTGAGCCTCTGCAGCGTATAGATCATTTGTCAGTGCCAGTTTGAGGTAGTCTCTATAAACAGCCTGCTTTGCATTTGAAGCACTCACAGGACATGATGGTTCGGCTAAAAAAACCATGCATTTTACATGTAATCACCAGGATAATTTGGCTGTATCTCGTGTTTCCACAACTTAATATTCTACCTACAGATGCGTGATCAAGAAGAGATTCCTTAACTTTGACAGGGCACATCACATTATACTCACTTTATTATTGGAAATGATCACCTCAGGGTGCAAAAGGGAGCAAAGACATAGTTTTACTATACTTTTTTTTTTTTTTAAATAAACTGCATTTACTACAGTGTGGGTACAGTGTGGGATATTCCGAAGCTACAGAGCGCCACTTGCCCGTGGACAAGTGGCTACATTTTACATGGATTTTGCAAGAAAAAAGTAACTGCTTAATTTCATGCTAGGCTGTGTAAAATTCACCTGGAAAAGTCAGCTTTAAGGCACACAGTTCATATCCTACAGTAAAAAGTCAAAGGTAGTGAAATTAAATATTGGAAATGCTGTACCCATGGATGTAACCAAAAGCTCTCCTGACTATGGATACAAATCCTCCCTTGGACTCAGGACAGGATCCAGCACCAAACTCCTGACCTAACATTAAGGAAACTAAGAGTTTTGGTGCTTGCTAGGACCAACAATGAGTTTTTTCCTCTGCTTTGATGGTTATTACAACCTATTAAAGTTTCCTATTCTCCAACTCTGCAAAGACTTGATTGCACTCCCAGTTGAGCAGACCAGAAAAATATACTCCTAAATCTCAACAAGCACTTGATACAGTACATTTATCTGGGAACCGATTGATATCACATCTATTTTGGCATTATGATTTTTATTTTTAATCCTCCATTTAAATGCCCTATTTCACAATCTGAAAGGAAAAGGAACAAGGGATGGCCCATAGATATTTAGTAGCTATAAAAGAAAGCCTATAAAATGAAAGTGAAATGAATTATCAAACCATAAACTAAAGTTCAGTGTTTAAAATGGGTCAGGGCTTTAAAAATTCAATTACAGCTTTAACAGAAACAAGTTTACTCAATATTTTAATAACCTTCTCTCATAATGTTTTTTTCTTCCTTTGCAAAACCTGGCATTACTGAGGATGCATGGCAAGCTTGCCTTTCTTCTAACTACTTTAAGATTGATTAGGAAACAGAAATATTGATGCATTTATCCAGAATAACTTAATTAAATAAAGCCAAAAATAGCGCACAGGAACATGTCTCAGTAGAAAACTGGAGTTGACCAAGATGAAGAAAGGCTGCATTTAATACTCCTGGATTGAAAACATTAGGACCATTAACTGAATGTCAGTAAGGGACAATACTCAGAACAGGAAAGTTATTCAACTTTTTCTTAACTCAGTGGTGGGATATTTCCCGATGTTCAGGTTCAGCAGCTTCTGTAGATTTGTACCCCTCCAACATTCAGGGGTCCTACAGGGCACCTCAGCTGAGGACAGCAGGTGAAGAGAACATCTCAGAGCGCTAATCTGCATCACCTTTGTTGAAGCTCAAAACCAGGTGCAAGGCCAGATACTAAGATATAAGACCTGATTTGAAGTCAGGTTTGTGTTTGCTTGGTTTTGTCAAACTGGTCTTGTCATGCTGTGGAGGATACATTTAGCAATGGGCTGCCCTGGAGCAGCGGAGCACTCTGGCTTGTTGTACGCTGGGAGGCTGAGCCTGGGCTCAGTCCCAGCTCCTGCGAGTTTCAAGGAGAGCTTAAGAGAGAAAAACCCGTAAGGACAAGATTTCAGGGGCTGTTACATCAAGCAACAGCAGCTTTCAGTGCTGTGGTTTTGGAGGGGCTTTTTCTCATCTGTTTTACTTTCTTTGGGAGGCGTGAGGATTTTGACAAAACCTCTAGAAAACCTCAGTGAGGGCATGCCAGATGAACTACAGAATTTTCTCTCTAGTTTATTTTGGAAACAACCCATATCTTCATTTTAAACAGCACTTCTGAAATGCACAGTAGCATCAAGCCCAAGCTGCAATCAGAGAGGTCTAGACTGCTCTGTATGGAGCCCAGCTGATTTTATTACGACCCATCAGGAGCTCCATAGACTGCCCTGACAAATCCAGCTGAAGAACCAGCACCACTGATAAATTTAAAGCATTGCAGATGCAACAACATAGAAAAACAGGCAAGTGTTTCGGGGAGAGAGAGAGACTGCAATTGAAAATACATAATTCTCAAAGCTGCTTCCAAGGGGAATGGAACAAAGATCTTAAAATATTACCCCTAGATGTTTCCCCCCCTGTGGTTGCAATTATTTCCAAAGTACCCTGCTTAAAATAGGTTTTCAAACCATGCAAGACTAATCATTTCAATTTGGAGAGGTAAGTAGGCACTTACCATGCAATTCACAATTAGCTAAAGATGGTAGAAGAATCTCAGTCATGTTGGCACAGGAGATTTAAAAAAAAAAAAAAAAAGAAAAAAAAAGAAAACATTTTTTTTTCTTGCAAGAATGACATGTGATGGGAGAGTAGAGGAAGATAATTGTCATAACAAAGGGAATATGTTATTATTTATTGGCCACACTTAAGCACTGGGATCCTGGATTATAGTATCTGGTGACAAATGCTGCTTGAAATTTTGTAAATATTGCTTAAAAAGTAAGATAACTGAGTAATTCTGCATCTACTCCAAAACCAACATTTTCAAAATTCAGTTCTGGGAAGCAGAGTGACCTTTTTTTTTTTTTTGTCCTATATGAAAAAATTAAACATCTGAGCACCCTAAAATCTTGTTGTTCTCTTTAGGCTTCACCCTACTCCTTCTGCCATTAGAGCAATATTGCTGGTAATTAAGTCAAGAGAATTTTTAAAGCCAACTAAGAACCTTAACTTTGTAGTGCCTTCAAGGTATGGGGCAGTCCAGGCTGTTCCCTGCCCTGTGCTATTCCCAACAGGGGCCACCCAGCCCTGTGGCAGTGGAGGTGAGGGCTGACCTTCCAACTGGGATGAGGATGGATTTCACCCTCCTGAGCTGGGCAGGGTCACAGTACCCAGATCCCCACCAGCTTAGACCATTTCTTTGCCAAAGTGACAACTGTAAATAGACTTTCAGCATCTAATTTCTACATCCTTCAGTATCTTGATTTATATTTAGCCAAAAAACCTGACACGTTTATCTGATTTGTCACTATTAATTTCCTGGTTCCCTTTCTATTTTCCTCTTCCTCTAGTAGATTCACTGGGTTATGAACTGCAGTAACAACATTTCCAAACCAATTCCAAAACCTTTTTGAAAAGCTTTTGATATTTTATTATCACTCCACTAGTGCTGGGGTGCTGATTAGCCCCCTCCTTCCCTACCCTACCCAGCTCTAGAAGTGCACGCAAACAAAAAGCCGAGGTGTATGTGTGTGTGGTGGGGGGGTGAGTGTCGCGGTGAAACAAAACAAAAACAAACCCTCAGCAATAAGTTGACTGATTCTGGCAGCAAGACAAATCTGGCACCACACAGCAGGCAGGCAGGGAGTTGCACTGCTCATCCTTTCGGTTTGCCGGTGTGCGGGAATGCTGGACATCCACACGCAGAGAGGGATTCGGCCGAAAGCGCAGATCCTCAGCGACTGAGCCCTCTGCTCCCCCCCACACCCCGTCTTGGAAGATACAGGTAAAAATAGAGAAATGCTTTACCTAACTGGAGTCAGTGAAAATATAAAGCAGCCAGGAGAAGCCTGGACAGCCTAATCTTATTCCTAGCAGGCAGGGGAAGTAAACCACAGCGCTCAGGCTGAGAGCTCCTGTGCACACAATGCCCTCAGGTACCGTGATCGTTCGTGTTGCAGCAAAGAAATTGTTGCAAGAGCAGTAAAGATTTTTTTTTTTTTTGAGGGGGGGTACACTTTGTTCAAGTTGCCTTTATAAATGTTTATTGCTATTTATATAATTATACCTCTCAGACAGCAGGCTTTACAGCAACTTTGAACCAGAACAAACGGGCAGCCTGGGTGCCTCCTTTTTAGCTAGACTGTATCTACTCCGTGTTACATGTTTATCTATTACCACCGTGCTATGAGCTTATAATTTATTTCATAATGTAATTTATAGTTACATTACAGAAGCATCCCTCTACAAACAGCGTCTATGTAATATTGATAAAGCATTTAGAAACAGAACATAAATTTAATGGCTCGGATATTGTGAAGTATCGATAATCTGCAGGAAAAAAAGTGTCTGTGTAAGTAAGCACAATTTATTATGGCAGGAACCTAAATAGAGAACATCTTTCTCTGTCAAACTTCCGTTAAGAGAACTTGACATTCCAAAATTCTTTTCTCCCCCACAGATGTCAGAAGACAAGACAGACAAGGTAAAAATCAAGCAAGCAGAAAGTTTTGACCATGAGAAGCAAAATATTTCCTGGCTGAAGAAAGGTAAGTTTCACTGAGTTTTTAGTTACTGGTTTGTGTTCAAAGAGATTTCTCAGCCATTGATTTATTTTTTGAAAGAAAAATGCACAAAAATACCCTGTAGTCTTAAATATGACCAGAAATTTCTACCATTCAAATTCCATCACTTGACTTCTACGTAACACGAACATACAATTTCTTACGCTGCAGAAAGGCCTAAACTACAAAATTTTAAAGTAACCTGAAAGCTCATTTTACTAATATTCTAGCATTCCTGGGAAAGTTTTATCTGACCTGAACTATAAGCCACTAAGAAGTATGGCTCGTCATCTTAATTCTGATGAAAAGTTTATATTAACTTTAACTGTTACTGAATTAGATTAATATTAATTTGATTTTCTCAAATACAAGTAAAGGTTAAGCCTGAATGTTTGGATTTGGAAGTGTGTTATCTGAGAATAAAGTACCATCAGTTTTCAGCGGTTAATATATATAGAAATATGGAGTCTCAAAAGTGGAGGAGTCATGAAAGACAAGTATGGGGACTTTTCCAGTTTTAAAGGCTGAAAAATAGCAGGAATTAAGTCACTCCTCTGCAACAAATACCAGTATTTCAAGTACTGTATTTTGTTTGTAAAACTACTTTAGAAGGAAAAACATAAAATTATAAAGATTTTCATATTGCATATTCCTGTGCACATAAAGAGGGAAGTTTCTTAGGATATTTTCTTGCTGAAAAAATAGATTTGCCAAATTAGGACCTAGCTTATGTGTTTATGTATGTTTGTTGGTCACAGAAGAATCACTTTATTGTATGTCATACAGACAAGTAAAACTCAAATTAAATAGACTTTCAAAGCAAACACTTTCAAGATGCCCAAGATAGAAATTAAATACCCACGGTTAGGTGCAAATTATGATTTTTAATGAGAACAGTTATATTCTAATCCTAACAAAAGTACTTCAGAAAGACTCAACAAGTGACCTCATATTTTGAAACATTAACTGTGGTGATATCAGGGAAAAGGCTCATTTTTAGCCACTGTTATGTCATCTGTGAAATGTGCCATCACTATTTTAAACTCTTACAATTAATTGTTCATTAGATCTCTTAGCTCCAAAAGAGTTTGCAATACAGTAGGCCTGAAATAATGTCCCTGCCTTGCAGCTTTCCTTGTTTATGCAGCATTTCTGCAGAAATTAAGCAGAGCTGACTGACCAAGATGCAGTTTTGCTTGGCTGGACACCCAAAATCCTCTGCTTGCAAGGGTTCAGATAACTTCAATAAAAACTCTGCAAGCATAAGCTTTGTAGTTTGAGCATCAGAGAGAGAGATACAGCTGAGTGGGGTCGGGGTCTGAACCTACAAGGTAGCACTGGACTCTACCCTGCAAACAGCAAATACGTAACTGAATTGAGGTTTTATTCCACCACAGGAGAGAACACAAGATATTTGCTGCTTTACAAAGGGGTAAAAAGGTAGAGAGGACCTTGACTCGTCCACATCTCTTAACAGGGGCTCTCAGAGTCCCATATTATTATTTATCCTCTGTTCCAGACCTGCTCCATGAGCCAGGTGCCATCCCTCACACCTGCACATTCCTGAGATCATTTCACTAAGTGTCACTAGTTCACAATAGTTTATTTCTCCATTTCCTGAGGAGGGACACCATCCATAGTTTCTAGATCATTACTAACCTTTTGATTGTTCTGTACTTGGAAGAGTTATAATCTTTCAGAAGCACCCAAGTGTTGACTATTGGCACATCTTTCCATAGTGCCACAGAGAGAACTGGGCCTTGAGGGTCTTGTACAGCAGCTCAGTCAATAAATAACTGAACTTGTCTCATGAGGAAAGCAAATTTTCCCTGAGATGAGAATATGGAGATTATTTTATCTAATATTGAAGTTTGCATTTAAAAATTTTTGTTGTTGTTTCTTTGCTTCAAGCACTTCTGTGGTATGCACTGGGTTTTTAGACTATGGTAAAACAAATTGTCTGGAGCAGAAGCTTAACTTCTATGTTTAAATGTTTTAAAAATACCTCATGTATAGATTTCAGGCATTCCAATAAACAACGAATTGTGGAGAACAGACTTGTACTGTTTCCATCAGGCACAGTAAGAAGACTATATGTTCTTTTAGCATCCAGTGTTAAAGAAAAGTTATTTTTATTCATGGCTTTGTATTGATTATTTGTTCCTTCTAAAAGAAACAATCATCATGAACCACATAGTATCAGAAATAAACAAAAAGTAGAGACTAGGCTGTGGCTTTAGTGTCTTTCTTAGACTTCATTTTTTTTCCCTAATGTTTTGCAAAGTAAAAGCTTATGAACTGGTAGTACAGTGGGTCAACATCAAAATAAGGTACTTATCACTTTTTTTTGTTGTCTTTCAACATTAGAAACTGCTTAATCAGGGTAGGGTGGGATTTTAGTCTGGCTGCCAGTTATTTGTCTTCTCCTTTTTCTTGGATGAAGATAGTTTACTTCTGTCTTGGAGCATCTAAAAGCCGAAATCAAAACCTCATTCTGAGGGAAAACTTCTTCCGCAAAGCAAAAGAGAAACCAAACCAGCCTTGTGAAAAGTATCATACATAAATAGTAGTTTGGGCACGTGGGATTGTACTAATCAAAATGTACCTGGAGGAGTAGACTGATAAATGTGCACTCTACCTTTGCTTAGAGTTTAAGAAAGTCCTAGAACATCTTTGTACCTCTTGAGGCACTTAGCACTTAAGTCTACATGTGAATAACATGAGACACTCCCTGGCTTGAAAGTAAGAACAAGGACAGCAAAATGGTCACAGTTCTATACTAAGATGTCTCGGGGTAAAGAAAAAAAAATATATATACACACCAGCAGTGTTTTCTGATAGTATGTAATATTCTTCAGACTGTTATGTCTAAAGGTGAGAAACCCTGTGTTTGGAGGTTATGCATCAGACCATCACATGCAAATCCATCAGAATCAGTATGAACGAGCACTGAGAAAAGGCAATTCTGCTCGTCTGACCTTAACACTGACTGATGAGAACCAACCCAAGGAAAGCCCGGGACACAGGAGGAAAAACAGACAGTGACTCCTATTTTGTGCAGGAGTGGAGGCAGTTATGTCTGCTTGCTCCCTCCCGTGGGGGAGAGCTCATTGCTGGAGATGGGAGGCAGTTCTGGACAGAGATACAGAGTTCCCCATGCCAGTACCTACAAAATCTCTGAGCAGAGGGAAACACAAGTTCCCTTGCAAAGAAGCAGTTGACAAGTTATCTGCCATGAAAAGCTGGAGCAGGAATCCTCAGTGCAAATATTGTCCTTAGTTTTTCATGCTTTGTCCTGAAATGCACAAAATAACATAAATGACAGTGTATAGACAATGAATATACATGGATAAGAAAAGAAAAGCCAATGTAACTTGAAGGTAATATTAGAAAAGTGTCCTCTGGAGGGGCTTGTGTCTTCCCTGCTTCATGTCCCTACAAGACCACACAGGCAGATGGTGACAGGACAAGTGGAAAGAGTTTTAAACTAAGAGAGGAGAGATTTAGATTAGATATTAGGAAGAAATTATTCCCTGTGAGGGTGGTAAGGCCCTGGCACAGGTTGCCAAGAGAAGCTGTGGCTGCCCCATCCCTTGGAGCAACTTGGTCTGGTGGAAAGTGTCCCTGCCCACGGGCAGGGGACTGGAACCAAAAAGACCTCAGAGGACCCTTTGAACCCAAACCACTCTGACTCTGTGATTAGATGTGCAACAAGCAGATCATCACACCCCAAACAAGAGCACAGGCTCCTAATCAGGCACAGTTATTAGAGGGCCCTGTAAAATCTGGAAGCCATGCAAGATATGCCCTTCAGTAGGGTCGTACTCAAGAATGAGCAACACTCCCAAAGGCTGACTCAGGAGTGGTCCCACTTTGCACAACACAGCCACAGCCTCTTCCACGTGGACCAGGGGCTCTTTCCACCATGGCAGTGATTTAGTGCCAGATTAGCAGCCATCTGGTGGAAAAGGAGGGAGGTCAAAGCAGAGCTAAATTCACACCAGCCTCAGCATGTGGCTTTTGGAGTTCTTTACAAACAAATCTCTTGGTATCACTTGATGATTACAGCCATATGGATACGTGGGAGCAGGCAGGAGCTTATCTACTGACACAAAGCTATAAAAGGTGACACTGATTTTGTACAGGGACCGCAGTGGTCTGTTCACTGTTTCTGCATCCATTGCAAATGCAAAGGAAAACGTGTGAGGGCCTCACACTGCCCTCCCATGGCTTCATCCAAAACTGGCCACGGCAGCCCAGGAACGCGGATCCAAGTCATACAGAAATGAAATTTCATTTCAGGATATTTTCACACAAAGCCCTCCTGTTTTATGCTGCCCAGCTGTGTACACAAATGCCCTCCATATATAACTTCCAGTGAAAAGTTAATGAAATGGCTTCCTTGCTCTCCTGCCAAAAATATAGCTGAAATTCTAATCTCAAGACTTTCTCCAAAATAGCCCCTTTCTGCACTAAAATTCTCGTAAATCAGAAACATTTTTGTCTAAAATAAGCCTGTTTTCATTGTCTTGCAAATAGTAAAAAGTCTAGCCCCAATTTCTCTAATCCACTGCTCTAGCCAGCAGATTTTCGCTGTAGGGTGAAATTCAGCCCTGTACTGAGGGTCAGTGCAAGGTCAACACTTAAACCATAAAATAGGGCTTAAGTGGTAAATAGAGTCTCTGTTCAGGATTATATTTCACCCCTTAAAAGGACTACATTTCACATGAAAAGGGAGATTTACTCATATCATAGACCTGGCTGTAGTGACATTATTCAAATAATACTTTATTCCAGTATTAATCCCATTGGGTGAGATTGGGCCACATTTCTAATAGGGGTACATCCCAGCGGAATATTCCTGGCTGTACCACACCTAAACATCCCACAGCCTGGCCCTGGGGTTGTATTCTCAGGGGTAAAAGCAAAAGCTTTCTACATGGCAGCACTCAAAAATACCTTTTTTTCCCAGAACACTCCTCTCT